AGCGACTGTGGGAAAGGCAGCAAGGTCAGGGAAGAGGTACGGTAGCATGAGGCGGCTCAGTGCAGCAGTGGCAGGGGAGGAGTAGCGCGCAACTACAGCGTCGTACAAGGTGTGAGCACTCTTGTACTGGCTAAAGTGCGCACGCTCAGAGGTAGGCAGGTGGCGACGCACAGCTAGACGTGCAGCAGCATCGCGTGTGGCCCACTGTGAGCGAACAGTGGCGTCGGCATCAGCAGCAGGGGCAGGAGAGGCACCAGAGGTGAGGTCAAAGAGGGAGAGACCGTCTGCCCTATCGCACTGTAAGAAAAGCTGCAGGTCATCTACCCAGACGTCAAAGTCAATGGCCCGACCCTCAGCGTCAAAGGCGAGGACACTAGGGGTAGCCATGACAGCAGTAGACTAGCAGTGCGAACAGTAGGGTAAGGGCAGTGCAGTGATAGAGGCGCTGCTCTTACCGGACAGGGCGGCTCGGGCGGCTCGGCGGCTCGGCAGGACGGCGGGTCGGCGACACGGCGGCTCGGGCGGCTCGGGCGACTCGGCAGCTCGGGCGGCTCGGGCGGCTCGGCAACTCGGCGGCCCGGGCGGTTCGGCGGTCGGCTGCTGGGCGGCTCGGCGGCTCGGCGGCTCGGCTGCTCGGCTGCAGGACGGCTCGGCGGCTCGGGTGCTCGGCTGCTGGGCGGCTCGGCGGCTGGTGTGGTTGGTGACGACCGCGGCAGCAGTCGCAGAAGCTGTGGCGACTGCTGCTGCAGAGACGGCTGCGGCTGCTACCTCAGGGACAGCGGCTGCCGACCGCTAGGGGCCGCGAAGAGCGGCGGAGAGGCCGTGAAGGGCGCCACGAGGGGCCGTCGAGGGCGGCGACAGGCCGTGAGGAGGCCGCGGAAGGCGGCTCGAGGGGCCGCGAGGGGGCCGTAAGGGGCCGACTGTTGACGGGAGGGGCCGAAGGGGCCGCGGGAGGGCCCGTAAGGGTAGCGCGAGGGGCCGTAAGGGCGGCACGAGGGGCCGTAAGGGCGGCACGAGGGGCCGTAAGGGCGGCACGAGGGGCCGTGAGGGCGGCGCGACGGGCGCGACGGGCCGTAAGGGCGGCGCGACGGGCCGTAAGGGCGGCACGAGGGGCCGTGAGGGCGGCGCGACGGGCGCGACGGGCCGTAAGGGCGGCGCGACGGGCCGTAAGGGCGGCGCGACGAGCCGTAAGGGCGGCGCTAGGGAGCCGTGAGAGGGCCGCTAAGGGCGACGCGACGGGGCCGTGAGGGGCCTAGCGAGGGTGCGACGGTAGGGAGAGCACACAGGGCGCGACTCGGGCCGGAGCGAAGCGCGCTCCGGGCAGGAAAAAAAAAATTTCGTGGTGGTGGGCCCTAGGAATCGTTCCCACTAGGGAACCTGCTCGATACCATGAGAAGAAACGAGGAATGAATTGACTAAGGGAAAGTTGGGTACAAATGTAAACCCTAGAAAATTGTACCCCATATGTGCTACCCCACTATAGCCTACAGTAGCTATGTCATATAAATCTGACAATAGCCTCATAGTCAAGATCAAAGATAGGTACATCACGCCTAAGCAGGTCTGCCCAGTTGGGGAACTCAGTAGCATCAGGAAACTTGGCGCGCCAGGCGTCGCTAAGCCGAGCGAAGCAGCGATGCTCAGTGTGAAACCCTGTGCACTGGCGACCAGCGCGGGGACCTGTGCGAATGATATAGGGGCAGCGACCAGGACCCCCAGAAGCCCCACGCCCGGCATACCAGTCAAGAAGCTGCTGGGAAGTGGGGGTCTGGCGCTGACGCTGCTGCTGCTGCTGCTGCTGCTGGCCCTGACCACCACTGCCACCACCGCTCCCTCCTCCCCCACCGCCGCTGCTGCCACCTCCACCGCTCCCAGTGCCTCCGCTGCCCCCACCACCACCTCCACCACCTCCACCCCCACGACCGCCTCCACCACCTCCACCTCCCCTGCCGCCTGCACCACCGCCACCTCCACCGCCACCCCCACCTCCCCTGCCACCCTTGCCGCCCCTGCCGCTGCGACGCTTCCCAGTAGGAGCGGAAGCAGCCCCGACCTCCTCAGCACCAAGGTAGTCGTGAGCAGCAGCTGCGGAGGCGTAGGAGGGGGTGAGAGGGGAGGGGGAGCACCCCTCAAAGAGGGGAGAGCGAGGAGTGCCACGAGCAGCACCTACAGCGAGGATGTTCTTCTCTGCTGCGAGGAGGTGCTTCTCGAAGTCGTCGACAGTGAGAGTGGTGGGGTCTAGCGCTAGGAAGTGGTCCCTGACGGAGCTAAGAGTGTCAGGGAGGCGGGTGACGAGGAAATAGAGAGTGAAGTACATCGGGGGGGGTTTGCGGCGCAGAACTCGGCTGAAAGGGCGGCACGAAAGCGAGTGTCAGTAGCGCGTAGGTGGGAAATGAGGTCCTCAGCAGTGGTGAACGAGGAAAGGTCGGGGAACAGGTAGGGTAGCATGAGCCGACCTATGGCTGCAGTGGCCGGGGAGGAGTAGCGCGCAACTACAGCGTCGTACAGTGTCTTAGCAGTTTTGTGCTGGCTGAAATGCGCGCGCTCAGTAATCGGCAGATGGTTCCTAATAGCTAGGCGTGCAGCAGCATCGCGAGTCTGCCACTGTGAGCGTTCGAGAGCAGGAGCATCTGCAGCAGGAGCAACGGCAGTGCCAGACACGTAATCGAACAGTGAAACGCCCTCTTTGGCATCGGTCAGAAGGAACAGTTTGAGATCGTCAAGCCACCCAGCGAACTCTATGGGGCGACCGTCAGGCTCGAACGCGAGAACATTAGGCGTCGTCATAACGGCAGCAGGCAAAGGCAGTAGGCAGAAGGCAGCAGACAGGAGGCAGCAGGCAGCAGGCCGCAGGCACAGATAGAGACAGTAGGCAGCAGACAGGAGGCAGCAGGCAGTAGGCCGCAGGCCAAGACAGAGGCAGCAGGCAGCAGGCAACACAGGCAGCTTGCAGGGCAGTAGCTTGCCGCACGCGAGCTCCTAAGGTGGCGCGCTAGGCAGCAGCAGGCCGCGCGCTTTCTAAGGCAGCGGGATCGGCAGCAGCGGGCCGCGCAGGCAGGCACACGGGCAGAGCACGCGCGGCTGCTGGCTGCGTGCGGCTGAGGGCTGCGCGCGGCTGCTGGCTGCGCGTGGCGACGGGCTGCGCGCGGCTCCTGGCTGCGCGTGGCGACGGGCTGCGCGCGGCTGCGGCCTGCGTGCGTCGGCGGGCTGCGCGGGCGTGGCCTAAGCAGGCTGCGCGCGGGCGGCGTAAGCGGCGCGCGGGCGGGGCCTAAACGGGCTGCGCGGGCGGGGCCTAAACGGGCCGCGCGGGCTGCTTAAGAGGCGCGCGCGGGAAAAAAAAAGGGCCGCGCGCTTGCAGCCGAGGCGCGCGCGGGCAGTAGGCAAGGCATGTAGGCAGGTGAGGTAATGTGGTAACCGGTGGGCCCTAATCCTAGGTCCTAAAGACCTATGCTCTAGATACCATGTCAGAATCTTAGGCAAGAAGTGTTTGAACTATCGAGAGGTTTGATACAAGAGTGAAACCTAAGGGGTTGTACCCCACAGTATGTACCCCACTAAGCCTACCCAAACTACAACATATAAATATATGTTTGACAGCGTGGGGGTAGGGTGGTACCGTATGACCCCGGACATAAGCGCAGGCTTATTAAAAGCGCATGCGCTTATATCTGGAGCAATGCGCTTATGGCCGATCCTCATTTATAAGCGCACCCCTTTAAAACCATGATAAGCGCGGGCGGCGTAAGCGGCGCGCGGGCGGGGCCTAAACGGGCTGCGCGGGCGGGGCCTAAACGGGCCGCGCGGGCTGCTTAAGAGGCGCGCGCGGGAAAAAAAAAGGGCCGCGCGCTTGCAGCCGAGGCGCGCGCGGGCAGTAGGCAAGGCAGGTAGGCAGGTGAGGTAATGTGGTAACCGGTGGGCCCTAATCCTAGGTCCTAAAGACCTATGCTCTAGATACCATGTCAGAATCTTAGGCAAGAAGTGTTTGAACTATCGAGAGGTTTGATACAAGAGTGAAACCTAAGGGGTTGTACCCCACAGTATGTACCCCACTAAGCCTACCCAAACTACAACATATAAATATATGTTTGACAGCGTGGGGGTAGGGTGGTACCGTATGACCCCGGACATAAGCGCAGGCTTATTTAAAGCGCATGCGCTTATATCTGGAGCAATGCGCTTATGGCCGATCCTCATTTATAAGCGCACCCCTTATAAAACCATGATATATTTTAAGCGCATGTGTAATTTTATTTTTAAATCCTTGATAAAAATGGTAACGAATTTCAATGTTGCAGCGATGCCACAGCCATTTTCGCTTAGGTTGACTTTCGAGGACCTCACATCCTGCGCGTCCAGTCAGCACGAGCTGGCACGCCCTCAAAGTGAGGTGTTACACTGTACTTTGCCTCTGTGCGCCGGCAGTGAATCGCCCGCGCGCGATTCCGATCTGTGACACTTTACAATTTCGATTCGATTGAAATCGCAGGGATGAGATGTACAATTTGGTGTTTTAAATTATATATCTGTATTTGTCATTTTATAAGCGCATGCGCTTATATTTTTTACTCAATCATAAGCGCACCCCCTACAAAACACTGTTTTATTATAAGCGCAGGTGCACTTATATCCGGGGTGATACGGTACTCGCTTCAGGGTAAAACTCGCTAAGAGGAACGGCAACCCTGAGGCGACAGTGTGCCTTAATCGTAAACCCTGGCACATCAGGGAAAATCAAGCTCCCAAAAAAATTTCCCTAAGGCATCAGTGTGACTACCAAAAACCACCCTGATAATCAGGGTATCAGGGTGATTTACACTGATAAAATAAGCCCGGGGGGGAATTATGGTTGCCACACCCGTGGATTAACCAGGGGCTATATCAGGGTAAACGCATACCCTACGTCGTAGAAGCCACCCTGGGGCCCATTTGCTGAGCTTAGCGGCTGTAGCCGCTGACATGGCCTTCCTCTGGAAAGTAGTAGTTGTATTCGGAGATGGGTACTAGAGGTTGTGGTCGTGCGGGCTGTAGTACTCCGCCACCAGGCGGTAGATGTACGATGGGTTGTGTCCGCCCCTGCCATGCCCACATGTGCGAGACACGAGAGTGCGGAAGAAGGCAGGGAATGCACATGTGAGGAGGAGGTACCATGCACGAGAGTGAGATGGCACGCAGGGGAGTGAGATGGCAAGCAGGGGAGTGAGAGGGCAAGCAGCGCAGCGACTGACGTGTCGGTGACGAGCAGAGTGACGAGCTCCGGGGGGATGTAGTCAAACGCCGGGTTCACCACCTCCACCTCCACCTCCACCCCCGCCTCCGCCTCCCCCCACCGCCCCTCCGCCTCCTCACCCCCCTGTGCGCCCGCCTTGCCACTCCCCCGCCCCTGTGTGGTGAGAGCAGCCCCCAGGTGCGCCAGCCCCTCCCAGTGCGCCAGCTCCGCCAGCCCCACCACTCCTGCTGGCGAGCGCAGGTCGTTGAGCCCCGCCAGCCCCGCCTGCTGTGGGTACAGCGGACACACCTGGGGGGGGGGAGAGGGGAGGGGCAGGTGGGGGGAGAGAGGCAAGCAAGGGCAGGCAGCGTGAGGATCCAGAGGAGCAGTGGTCCAGGTGCAAAACGGTACATGGTAGAGTCATGTGCGTTGTGGCGTGACATCATCACCGCAGCACGTGAGTGCAGTCAAGCAGGAGGGCAGGCGGAGGGCAGGTAAGGTGGAGTGGAGGGGAGGTGGAGGGGAGGTGGAGGGGAGGTGGAGGGGGGGTGGAGGGGGGGTGGAGGGGAGGTGGAGGGGGGGTGGAGGGGGGGTGGAGGGGAGGTGGAGGGGGGGTGGAGGGGAGGTGGAGGGGGGGTGGAGGGGAGGTGGAGGGGGGGTGGAGGGGGGGTGGAGGGGAGGTGGAGGGGGGTGGAGGGGGGGTGGAGGGGAGGTGGAGGGGGGGTGGAGGGGGGGTGGAGGGGAGGTGGAGGGGGGTGGAGGGGGGGTGGAGGGAGGTGGAGGGGGGGTGGAGGGGGGGTGGAGGGGAGGTGGAGGGGGGGTGGAGGGGGGTGGAAGGGAGGTGGAGGGGGGGTGGAGGGGGGGTGGAGGGGGGGTGGAGGGGGGGTGGAGGGGGGTGGAGGGGGGTGGAGGGGAGGTGGAGGGGGGGTGGAGGGGGGGTGGAGGGGAGGTGGAGGGGAGGGCGGCACTGACAGTGAAGATGCCGGCGAGCACGACGAAGGGCACGGCATGGCGCCGCGCTGCCAGAGCCACCATGTCCAGCCCTGTAGGGGAGGGGGAGGAGATGAGCGCAGGGGGGGAGAGGTGATGAAGGGCGGAGAGGGGAGTGGAAGAGACAATGCAGAGTTAGATGTGACCTCTCATGCAAGCAGGACAGAGAGCGGACAACAGCTCAGCGTCAAGGTTGCGGCACCTCCCTCCTCTCCCTCTTGCTTCCCACACTTATCCCACACAGCACTCACCAATGGGTGCGAGCACTCACCAATGGGCGCGAGCACGCCGCCATTGGCCATGACGGCGTGGGCGGCGAGCAGCACGAGGTTGACGCGCGCCATGAGGGCGAACACCCCCGCGTCCGCTATCACCGTCACCGCCACCCCGCGCGCCGCCAGCGCCGCCGCCAGCTTGTGCCCGCCGTAGCAGGGGGCGCCCTCCGCCACCACCACCTGCCATGGGGGGAGGAGGGGAGGAGGCGATGGGGCCACTGCAACTGGCAGCAGCAGCAGTGGGGTCGCTAAGGCAGCAGGGGGGTGGCTTGGGATTGAGGTGGGTGTGTGACGGGCTGAGAGGGTTGTGGGAACAGAGCTCACGTGGAAGGATCGTCGCTTCCTGGCTTCGAGCAGGAAGAGCAGCAGCGTGTCGGAGAAACCCATCGTTAGAATCACCTCGCTGCCCTCCGTGGCGTGCCACGCCGTGCCATACGTGCCGTGCGTGGGGAGAGGGGGGGCGGGGGGAGGAAGCAGCAAGGGCGAGAAGGGGGGCAAAACGTGGCACGCAAGGGAGGGAACACGAAATTGAGCACACAGAGGTGGGAAGGAAGGAGGTACGGAGACAGAAGGACAGGAGCAATGAGGGCAGCAATAGTTGGAGGCATGCACACAAGGAGAAGGCGAATCGATGCGTGATGAGGGAGTTCATAGGTGTGGGACAAGGAAAGAGCGAGGAAGAGGCAGAGAGAGGAGGTGAGTGAGGCGAGGAATTCACTTCTGGTGGATGTGTTCGAGCGCCTGGTCGGCGAGTTGCGACTGGTGGTTGTCAATCTCCTCCAGCAGGTCGTTGATTCGCTCTATCACCACGTGCTTTAGCCTCCGCTCTGCCATGCCATGCATAAACCCATGCACACATGCATGCATGCACCCATGCAAACAGGCACCCATGCAAGCATGCACCCATGCAACCATGCACCCATGCAACCATGCACCCATGCAACCATGCCCTCACACACACGCAGGCCACCATGCATTGAGTGAGACGTCAGCAAGCACGTATGCACGGCAGGTGAGAGCTTTTCCTTCATGGCTACCCATGGCGGCATACAGCGAGGCAGACAGCCTTGTGACAGCTTCATCACCCTCACCGCGTGCTACCCTCTCACCAATCGGACCTCATGCCAGCACAGCACATCACTGCCTGCCCTGTAACCACTCGCACCTTCTCTCTCATCTGCACTCCATCCCTCCTGCCTGCCCTCCCTTCCACATAACCTATCCCGACCTCGCCGCTCTCTTCCAACCCATCCCCTCCTCTCCGCGCTCCCCAACGCACCAGCAGCAGCAGCGGTGGCGGCAGCAGCGGGCGAGGGGGCAGAGGCGCCGTCGGAGGAGCGGGCGGAGGGGGGGAGGGGCGCGGAGGAGGAGGGGGGAGTGGCGGGCAGCAGCGCGGGGTCGAGCAGGTTGTGCAGCGACGGCGCCAGCAGCACACTGCGGTTGCTCCCCGCCACCGACGCTGCTGACAGCGCCCCCCCGCCCCCCCGCCCCTCGCCCTCGCCCTCCTCGCCCCACCGCTCCCCCCCCACCGCCCCCGCTCCCCCTCCTCCGCGCACGCCCGCATCTGTCTGTCCCTGCCCCTGCCCCTGCGCGTGTGCGTGGGCGAGGTGCAGCGTGGCGTCCTCCTCGCGGATGGCGTGCATCACCCGCCGCACCACGTTGCCCACCACCACCGCTGCCCGCTCCATGGCGGGTTGGCGTAGAGGAGAGTTGGTGGGGGGGGAGGGGGTGGTGGATGGGAGAGTGAGGGCCGGTCAGCATGCACCGCGTGCTCCCCCGCGCTGGCAGCAAGTGAGGGAATGGGGTGCAGTGCGGTGGGGAGAGAGCAGCAATGGCAGTGCGCGAGGGTGCAAAGAGGGGGCTTGTGTTGTGAGGCTAACTGCACCATGCCTCGTGCACCTGCGTCCCCCATGCTTCACCTCATGGCTACCAGATCTCACCGGAGGGGTTGGCGGCGGCGAGGCGCGAGCCCACGGAGCGCACGGCGTCGAGCAGGGCGGCGGTGGGGTGCGCGGCGGGCATGCGCTGCTGCGACACCACCAGCCGCAGCAGCTCCGCCGTCCGCCGCGCTGTCTTGTGCCGCCCCTCCTCCTGCCTGCCACGCCACGCGCACACAGGTGCACCCACACCACACCACGCACAATGGGCAATAGCCACGTGGGAGAACTTGGGAGTGATGGAGGCGCAGGTAGCCACGGTGCAAGGGGCAGATCGACGGCGAGGCGAGGCGAGGCGAGGCGAGGCGAGGCGAGGCGAGGCGAGGCGAGGCGAGGCGAGGCGAGGCGAGGCGAGGCGAGGCGAGGCGAGGCGAGGAAGGGGGGAGGCGGCGAGCATGGGGGCAGGGATGTGGATGTGGATGTGGATGTGGATGTGGATGTGGATGTGGATGTGGATGTGGCTGTGGAAGCGGGTGTGGCTGTGGAAGCGGGTGTGGGTGTGGCGCGGGTGTGGGCATGGCAGCAGCGGCGGTGAGTGACGCACCTCGTGCACGCTGCTACCATCGCCCGCGGCCCTTCGCCTCCTGACCAGCATCCCGCCACTACTAACACGCCAGGGCCACTCACACGACTCCGTCCGCGTCCTTCCATTTCCCTCACCTTCGCTTCAGTCGTGTCGCGAATTCCTCCACCTGAGTCGCCACGTCACCCATGACGTCAGGCGGGCGAGGTGGCGACGTCCAGCAGCGAGCGCGCGACGAGCCGGCGGCGACGGCGGCGGCAGCGAGGCTGAGAGCGGGTGAGACGGAGAGGGCGAAGGGACACCGCGATCCGCGTGGACAGCTGCGAGTGGAAACGAGAAGCCGCGGCGGATGCAAGGCACGTGGGTTGGTGCGCGCGCAACTACGTACAGCGCACTTTGCGCTTGCGCCGTGGTACAAGCAAACCGTCCGAAAAAAAAGACGCAATGGGTGCGACTGTGGTGGTGGTGGTCGAGCAAGGGGCTTTGGTCGGGTTTATATATGGCGAACTGACTAGGTGCAACAACTGTGCAAGTTACCAACTATGAGTTCGCCAAGGTGCAAATTTATCGCCCCCCTCCACCGCACCTCTTGTGCATCCCTCTTCATTTCCGCACCTCCCCCCCCACAACCTGGTGCTGTCGCAAAGCACATCGCACAGCCATGCGACATGACTCGCGTCTTCTGTGATCTCTCCTCGTCGCCCAGCAGTCGCACATTGTCCCGCCCTCCGCACGCTCGCATGTGACGCTGCGCCTTTTCGTAGCCTGCTCCACGTGTCCAGACCTCAACGTCACGTGTCGACGCATCTCTCGTTTGCTTGCTTCGTGCCGCCCGTCGTTCATCGCTCGTCGCTTTCTCGTCTCCGCGCCACCGACGGTCCCACCACGCGCGCCGCCATGCATCGCTCTCTCCTCCGCGCTCTCGCCCGCCGCGCCTCTCACCACCGCAACGTTCTTCCCCCCACCCCCTTCCTTCCGCCCACCTCGCGCGCGCTCGCCGATGAGCTGCCGCTGTTCGAACCGCGACCCGCCTTGATGTCCGCAGCATCGACGCCCTCCGCCGATCCTTCCGCCATCCGCCTTCGCTCCCCCGCCTGTTCCCCTCCGCCACACTCTCCGCCTCTCCTCGCCCTCCTGCCCCGCTCCCTTGCTCTCCCCTCGCAAACTCTCCGCTCACCTCTCCCCAACTCCGCGCCATTCCACGCTTCGCTGCTCGCCGCCGCGCCATCCCGCGCCTTCCGCACAGCGGCCTCCTTAGCATCGGCGCAAGCGGCGAGCAGCGGGGGAAGCGGGGGGCTGCTGACGCTGAACGCGCTGGCGGATAGGGAGGGCGCGCGGAGAACGGGGAAGCGCGTGGGGCGGGGGATGGGGTCGGGGAAGGGGAAGACGGCGGGGCGCGGGCACAAGGGGCAGAAGGCGCGGTCGGGGCGCAACCCCAAGATCGGGTTCGAGGGCGGGCAGACGCCGCTACGCATCCGCCTGCCCAAGCGCGGCTTCCACAACCCCTTCTCCCTCCGCTTCCAGGTGCGCCCCTCCGCTTCCAGGTGCGCCCCTCCGCTTCCAGGTGCGCCCCTCCGCTTCCAGGTGCGCCCCTCCGCTTCCAGGTGCGCCCCTCCGCTTTCAGGTGCGCCCCTCCGCTTCCAGGTGCGCCCCTCCGCTTTCAGGTGCGCCCCTCCTCCTTCGTTCTCCCCCCTCCAGTGCCACCTCAAGCACGGACGACCCGTCCCTCCACCGTCGCACCCTCCAGTACCCATTCCTCACGGGTTGTCGTGTCCCTCACTTACTGCAGTGCCGCCCCCTGCTGCGCTCCCTCACCATCTCCCAACCTCACCTACTGCTCCCCAACCCATGTATGGCACGCGGTGCGGTGCTGTGCGGTGCACACAGGTGGTGAACGTGCGAGACGTGGTGAGGAAGGTGGAGGAGGGAGCGATAGACGCGTCGCACGTGATCAGCATGAAGACCCTCAAGGTGTGTTGTGCTGCCCCGGGAGGGTGCTGGCCCGGGAGGGTGCTGGCCCGCACGGCGTGCTCTGTTGCTCTGCTGCTCGATGCATGGACGCACACACACACATACACACACTCACACGCACGCACGCACGCACGCACACACACGCGCACACACGTGCACACGCATGCACACCACGCACATGCGCGCGCACATGCACACATGCACGCGTGCGTGCGCACACACACACACATGCACACACACACACATGCACACACACACACATGCACACACGACACACACACACGTTTTGAGAATATTGCCCTCCCTGCCCATTGTATATGTGTGCACGTTTCATGGCATAAATGTGTGAGAGCATGCCGCATGGCATGATGTGTGAGAGCATGAGCAGATTCATGCACACCTCTGAGGCTCCACTGCTTTTGTTTCAGATCAGTCAGCCATTACCACTCCGTTTGAATACAATGACACTCACCGCATGCCTCTCGTCTCTCCCCACTCTCTCCCCCCTCCCTCTTCCTCGCCCCACTCCCTCCCACAGGATGCGGGGCTGGGCGGCAAGGCGATGCGGGATGGAGTGAAGCTGCTGGGCCGGGGGGCGCACCTCCTCTCCCTGCCGCTGCACCTCCAGGTCTGCTCCTCGCCTCGCCTCTCCTATCCTCGCCACTCTTCTCCTCGCCTTTCCTCACCTCTCCTTCCTCTCCTCGCCTCTCCTCTCCTCTCCTCGCCTCTCCTCTCCTCGCCTCTCCTCTCCTCTCCTCGCCTCTCCTCTCCGCTCCTCTCCTCTCCTCTCCTCTCCTCACCTCTCCTCTCCTCTCCTCTCCTCTCCTCTCCTCTCCTCTCCTCTCCTCTCCTCGCCTCTCCTCTGCTCGCCTCGCCTCTCCTCGCCTTTCCACTCCTCTCCTCTCCTCTCCTCTCCTCTCCTCTCCTCTCCTCTCCTCTCCTCTCCTCTCCTCTCCTCTCCTCTCCTCGCCTCACCTCTCCTCGCCTTTCCACTCCTCTCCTCTCCTCTCCTCTCTCCTCTCCTCTCTCCTCTCCTCTCCTCTCCTCTCCTCTCTCCTCTCCTCTCCTCTCCTCTCCTCTCCTCTCCTCTCCTCTCCTTTCCTCTCCTCTGCTCGCCTCTCTCTCCTCTCCTCGCCTCTCCTCACCTCCTCCCGCCACGCTCACCGTCTCTTTCAACTCAAGAAAGGCAGCTTCGTGACGTTGCTTCCACCTGCTCCCATGTTCTCTCGCCACCTTTGTCCTCTTCTCATGCCGCCACCATGCCTTCGTCGCCCACCAGTCTCGCGCCTCCTCCATCCTATCCTGTACCCCTGCCCCTCGCCCCCCACCCACCCCCCCCCCTCTCCCCCCCCAAGGTGAGCCGCGCGTCAGAGTCGGTGCGCAAGGCAGTGGAGGCGGCAGGGGGGCGGGTGACACGAGTGCACTACAACGCGCTGGGCCTGCGAGCGCTGCTCAAGCCGCACTGGTTTGCCAAGAAGGGCCGCCTGCTGCCGCGCCCCGCACGCCCGCCTCCGCGCATTCTGCAGCTCGGCCTCGTCGATGCCGTCGGCACGCTGCCTGCTCCCACACACCCCGTAACGTGAAGGCGCTCACCGTAGGTATCGTTCGTGGATGGCTGATGTCATATTACTTTTGTTCAATAGTCCATGTAAGCTTTGGTTTTCTGTATTCCATTCCATCCCTAAAACAGTATCTGTTAAAACCTTTCTCAAAACCTATTTGTTGGAAAGGGAGAAGGGAACAGGCCCCTAGATTCGTTTTGGGACACGCTGATCGATCAGCGTGCACCCCTCTCTGACCTCTGTCAGTCAGAGTTGCCTCCAATTTTTAGGCTGAAAATTCAGACTACACGATGTTTTTTACGCTGAACGTTCAGAGTTACACACAAATTTTAGGCTGATCACTTTTATAGATATTGGAAAAGATTACCATCGCAGTGCCAGCCTCTGTACCAACGCGACTGTACCAACGCAACTGCGGGTGCCGCGCTCGGGAAATTTTGGTTTCCCGCCCGTGATTGACGGTGTTAGTGCTACACGCCGCCAGGCTGGCAGAAACTCCTGTATTACCGGCTTCAGAGTGCACCCCCGATACAAGGCTGAGGCTCATCCTACACTCATAAAATTAGGCTGAAATTTCAGCCTATACATAAAAAAAACTCTGAAAAATCAGACAAGGTACATAAAGAAAAACTTTGAGTTCAGACTAGGTACAAAAGAAAAGCCTGAACGAACTCTGAATCAGAGTAAAAAATCTGATATCTAGGGCCCTGGAAGGGAAAGAGGAGGGGTGGGGGTGGGGAGGATAATCTCAAAGTTAGCGAACAACGGAATGAATGAACTAGCAATGTGTTGGATACAAATAGGAAACCCTAGCATATGTACCCTCTAGAATGCAACTCACTACAGCCTATAACTATTATATTTGACACACCCCAATAGGCTAAGTGAGGGGCATCAAAACAAGCAAGGCAGACAAACGGTCACAAGACCAGTCAAGACAAGAAGCAAGGCAAGCTCAGGGTGGATCTCAAGGACACCACACAAATTCCGAGCACAAGCAAGCGGCCACAAGGCCAGTTCAAGAGTTCACTATGATATATATAGGAAAACACAACAAGCAGAGCAAGTAACAAGTCTACAGCAACCGAGGGCCTACCTCAACAAGCCCCAACTGCACACAGAACCTGTGGTGGTCACCAAGCGCCAGGGCCTTGGTGAAGACGTCTGCAGTATTGGCCTCGGAGGCCACAAAGTCCAGGCGTGCCTGGCCGCGTCGCTGCAGCTCTCGCAGGAGGAAGTACCTCACGTCAATATGCTTCACTCTGCTCTCCAGTCGAGGCTCTCGACAGAGGAGGATCATGGCCTTGTTGTCAGCGTACAAGGTCGGTGCAGAGCGAGGCCGCTCACCAAGGTCGGCGAGCAAGAAGGTCAACCATCGAAGCTCCTGTGCCGCCATGGCACCAGCGTAGATCTCTGCCTCTGCACTGGAAGTAGCCACAGACGACGACCGTGTAGACCTCCACGACACAGCACCAGCTCCCAGACTGAAGTAGTAACCCTGAGTCGAGCGCTGAGTCTCCACGTCGTCAGCGTAGGAAGAGTCGCAGTGACCAGGCAACGCCACTGGCTGAGTCCCTCCAAGCACAAGCCCCATGCTTGATGTAGTCGCCAGGTACTTCGCCACCCTCACAGCAGCTGTCCAGTGGATAGGACGGTGTCTCCCAGTCGCAACAAAGCGAGAAAGTATGCTGAGAGGAAAGGCGAGGTCCGGCCGAGTACAAGTCATCAGGTACATGAGGCAGCTCACCAGCTCTGCGTAGGGACCACTGGACTCAAAGGGCTCGTCGGGAAAGGGGTCAGTGAGTCTGTGGTCAACAGCAAGAGGAGTGGGCTGTGTGGTGGAGAACTGGAAGTCGAACCGCCGAAGGACCTGCTGCACCATGTGTGACTGAGTCAGTGTGATGGTGCGAGCGGCTCTGTCCCTAGTGATCTGCAGGCCAAGGTAGCGCTGCAGTTCACCTAGGTCAGTGCACTTGTGTCTCTTCTGCAGTTCGGACTTCACCTGAGCCAGATCTGCCCTGTCTACTGTGGCAAAGACCAAGTCGTCGACGTACACTAGTATAAAGAAAGGAGTGGAACCAGTGCGAACAAACAGCGACGGGTCGGCAGAGGAAGGACAAAACCCAAGGTCACGAAGCGTGGAGCGAAGAGTGTCGTGCCACTCACGGGGCGACTGGCGGAGACCGTAGACTGGCCGTCTCAGGCTCCACTGGGTCCCAGGTGGGAAGGTGTCAGTGAAGCCAGGAGGGCGGCGCAGCCAGATCTCCTCATGCAGCCGGCCCTGGAGAAACGCAGTAGAGAAGTCAAGGGAGTGCAGCTCGTAGTCTCGCTGTGCTGCTACGTGCAGTAACACCCAAAGAGTAGTCATCTTCGGGGTCGGGGCGAAGGTCTGGAAGAAGTCAACTCCCTCACGCTGACTGAAACCCCTAGCCACGTAGCGCGCCTTGAACACAGGCGGTGAACCAGGCGGCCGCTTCACCTTGAAGAGCCACATGCCATCGACTACGTTCGGCCTGGGAGGGGGAACTGCGTCGACGTAGGTGCATGTGGATCTCCAAGACGCTAACTCCGAGGCCATAGCCGCTTTCCACTGTGAGGCCCACGCCCCTGACACTGCCTCGCGGTAAGTACGAGGAGTCGGTATGTCAAGGGCGTCGGGGTCTCTCTCAGGGGATAGCAGTATGGCACAGACAGAGGGAGAAGCAGCTGCCCAGTACTCCATCTCAGACTCTCTGTCCTCTAGGACGTCACAGCCAAGGGCAAACTCACCCCCGACGGACAGAGGACGGGAGGGAGGAGCTGGCACCACACGGGTGGTGTAGTCAAGGCGACTGGCGGCAGCAAACTCAGCGATAGCGGCAGTGAGAGCCGAGACTGACGACGGAGGGAAACGAGAGTCGGTGACAAGAGTGGCGAGGACACGAGAGACAACAGTACGAACAGCGCGGTAGTAGTCAATGACAGGAGTAGGGGGGAAAGGGAGAGAGGACCGAGGAGGAGACGGGAGAACGGACTCAGGAGGAGGAGGACGAAGAGACGAACAAAGGAGGGCAGTGCGGAGGTCGGTAACGGGAGACGAGGGACGAGCACGCGGAGGACAGGGACGGACACGAGATTGTGGGACACCAGGTGGAGGAGACTGCGGTGGAGGAGAAGACCAGACCGCTGGACTGTCGTTAGGAGGAGGAAACGTGGGACCAAACGCTGGAGGGGACGGAGTGTGAACAGGAGGAGAGGAGGGAAGACCAAGGGCCCGAAGGCCACTCACGGGTGGGAACAACTGCCGCTCCAGAGGGAGCTGCGGTGGGCGCGGCTGCGGCGGCGGTGTCAGCTGCTGCGGCGGCTGCTGCTGCTGCTGCTGCTGCTGCTGCTGCTGCTGCTGCTGCTGCCGCTGCTGCTCCAGCAGGTCCAACTGCCGCAACTCCTGCCGCTCCCTCTCCAACAGCACCTGCTCATCACGCTCACGCCGACGGGCCGCCTAGAGACGCGTGTCGTGGCGGTGGGGAGGCGGAGTGGACTCCGCAGAACCAGTGTCTCCAGCTCCAATCTCCTAAGAACCAGCACCTCCAGTGCCAGCGCCTCCAGCACCAGCACCCCCAGGACCAGCACCTACTGTGCCAGCACCTCCAGCTCCAGCACCCCCAGAACTAGCACCTCCAGTGCCAGCACCTCCAGCTCCAGCACCCCCAGAACTAGCACCTCTAGTGCCAGCACCTCCAGCTCCAGCACCCCCAGAGCTAGCGCCACCTGCGCCAGCACCTCCAGCTCCAGCACCCCTCGAACGAGCACCCCCAGACCGAGCACCGCCAGCGGCTGCACCTCCAGCTCCAACACCAACCGAGTCCACAGTAACCTGTCGCGGAAGTGCCGAAGGCTGCTGAGGAGACTGTGAGGAGGACTGCGGGGAGCGAGACGCTACCTGACGCGCGACCGAGGGAAGAGGGGTAGCGTGGGACACACCAGACGGGGCAGGACCAGGGGGGGGCGGGGGTACCGGAGGAGGGGGAGCAGGAGGAGGAGAGGGGGCGAGGAAAAGGGGGGGAGGGGGTACCGGGAGACCTCGACAGGGGTACCGGGTGTAGTAGGACACGGACTCGTCGAATCGGACGTCACGGGAGTCTAGGAACTGGTGGAGGGGAGGGTGGTAAAAGGACTAGTCGGCAGAGTCCACCGGGAAACCAAGGAAGACACAGGGGACGGCGCGAGCCGAGAGCTTGTCCGCGGAGGTGTCGCGAACAAGCGCAAGGCAGCCCCAGACACGAAAGGCCGACCCAACACCAGGGGACCCGGTCCAAAGACTGGTCGGTAAAGCCTCGGGCCGTGAGACGCGCGGCTGGAGGTTCAGCTGGTGTGCGGCGTAGCGAACCGCGTAGGGCCACAGAAAATGGGGCACACTGGCATGGATCATGGACGTGCGAGCAATGTCCATGACCAAGCCAATGCGGCACTCAGCAACCCCATTCTGCTATGGGGACTCCGGAAGCGTCCAGGACTGTACGATGCCCTGTCTGCCGCAGAATGCGCCAAGAACGCCGGAGCGAAACTTGCCCCCACGGTCGGAGTGTAGACAACTGACACGACGACCACGAGTGCCCTCAGTGGCCAGAAGCCACCGGATCAGCTTAGCAGTCACCTCAGACTTCTTCGCGAGAGGAAACACTGTGGTGTACTTGGAGAAGTCGTCGACGACCACCAGAAAGTAACGCTCCCTCCCAGATCCCTGCGTCGGGGCAGGGCCCCAGACGTCCAAGTGGAGGGTCTCGAAGGGAGCAGTGGCCGGACGAAGGGAGGAGGAGTGAGGAGTGGCGCGTAAGCGACCGGTGACGCAAGGAGTGCAAGGAGCAGCAAGTGAGGTAGGGAGCGACGGAAAGGTGCGTGGGAGACCTGTGACAAGCCCCTGGCTGGTCATGCCGCGGAGGCGGGGGATCGACGGGTGACCAAGACGGTGGTGCCACAAGACGGTCCGGTGGGTGAGGGAGCGACAGGAGCAAGACGCAGCAGCCGGACAGGACACCGCGACT